GGGTAAAAATGGGAGTTCATAACCCTCTTGAATCAAACTGTGAAATATGATATATCAAGAAATATGTAATGTTTTGAATGACCAACAATAAAAAAAGAAAAAAAAAGACAATGAGGGACTCATAAAATCCCTCCCAAATGTCAGATGTATTTACTTTGTTCTGAGTATAGTGCTGTGTTTATTTGTGGTTGTTTTCTGTGTGTAAGAAGCTGAAACAAGAGTTGAAATGGTGCTTTCTGCATGTGTTCTTGACCTCTCATCATCTGGCATAGTTCGACATTCCTCTGGTGACTCCAGGCCAGGCAGGAGGTAAGAGGAGCTGAGCTCTTGGTCCTGGTACTTTCCAAAATTGCCACCCAGCCCATGGTCTCCAGGAGTTGTCACTGAGTACTTCTGTTTCTTCCTTTCCCAAAAAGTGGTTCTTCCATGGAGAACATGAAAAGGTCTAGTTGACATTTTGGTGAGATGTTGGGATGGTGGCTCCTGAGAAGGGCCTCATGTACTGATCATCTTTCAGCAAGAGTAACTTCCCTTCATGCAGGTTGCCCAGTTCTATCAGCGGCTGCTGCCAGTAGAGATGCAGCTGGTTGGGGGAGGGTCAGATCAACACAGAAAGGGATTTTTGCACAAGTCTGTGTCACAATGTTTGGCAGAGGGGCCAAATTGACCATCTTAGGTGACTTTTTGTTCTCTTCCTCAACCTTTGTTTGGGGAAATTTTCTGCTTTTTTGCTCTTTTTCTGTGTCCTGTTTCTGTCCTGGGACAAGCAGTCTCCATGGATTTTATTTCTGGGACACTGAACTCTTCCCTTTCTGTTCAGATGCTTGTGATTAACTCAGTGATTTGTAGGCAACTGTTTAACCTCTGACTCCAGAGGCAGGAGACCGAACAGAATGAACTACTAAGACTTCATTGTCTGTCTGCCTGTCTGTCTGTCTTGGAATGCTGGTCCATAAGAAGTACTATGATCTGTTCTCCCTTGTTAGTCACTTTTCTAATTTGTTTGTGAGGGGTTAATTTGAGGCCCTATCTAAGGGGAAGAGGAAATAAAAGACATTGTGGGAGTGAAAAAGGGTGGACTTAAAAGGACTTAGCACACTAAGGAGTAAGAGTGGGGAACAACATTTCATAACTCAGTCTAGACATCCTTGACTGTAACCCAGGATSGCAGGTCACGAAAGGGATGAGAAGTACAAGGAAAGCCAAGTCTTCAAGTTTGGCCAAGGTCAGAGCCCAGACACACATTGGGTTTCAGGAAACTTAGGAGGAAGAAAAGAAGAGAGGCTCTGGATAACAGATAGGCAGGAGAAGAGTAACTAAAGATGAGAGTGGTGGAGGTGGGTCTCCATAGGGCACATGCTGCAGAAGCACAGGCTCCTGAGTTTCCACATGAACAGGTCTCAATACAGGAAACCTACAGATATGACCAGTAAACAAGGCATTTTGGTCTGACTCTGCAAAAGGAGAGGGGCCAAGACAGACAGACTTTAAGGAACAAAGACTCTTACCCATGGCAGAGACTCAAGAAGACACACATTGGAGTGAAAATGGGCTCCTTAGAAAAAAACTGGCCCTCAAAGCCAAGAAGTCAGGTCATAATTGACCCACAATGGAAAACATTGGGGTCCCGGAGAGCTCAGAGGACAAAGACTACAGGTAGACCAGAAAGATGTCAGAAGGAGGCAGGGCAGGAAGGCAAGGGTGACATATTTGTGTGAAAGACCATGGTCTAAGAGGTGCCAGGCAGGGTCATAAACAGGTGTTCTGGGTTTCTTCATGCCTATGAACATGGGGAAGGGTTTAAAGAATTCCCCAACACACCCTCTACATCACACATGCTCCAACACAGAGTTCCTGAGCAAGAAGACACTCCTCACACACTGAGCATAGGGGCTCCAGAGTGGACACCAGAACACTGATCCCTTTAGCCTGGTCCATTTGGCAGGTCAGCCTAAGGCTGGGCCCTTGCTCACCCTGTTCTCACCCTCCTCTGAGGAGCTCCAGAGCAACAAGKCCACCCTGGTGTGTCTGATCAGCGACATCTACCCAGGTGTTGTGACCKTGGACTGGAAGAGAGATGGCGCCRTGGATACCCAGGGTGTGGAGACCACTCAGCCCTCCAAACAGACCAACAATAAGTACATGGCCAGCAGCTACCTGACTGTGACAGCAGATGAGTGGATCTCATGAGACATAGACCTGCCAGGTCACTCATGAATGGAGCACCATGGAGAAGAGTGTGTCCTTGGAACAGTGTCCCTAGGTCCCTGACCCTCATTTCACCTTGGAGCTGAAAACCCCAGGGAAGCTTCTCTCCTCCCAGCCCTACCATCCCAGCCCTTCTCTCTCAACCCAGAAAAACCTCAATAAACATCCTCTAT